CGCGGTGGTGGGCGGGCGATTGGCGGCGCGAGAAAAATGCCCGCGCTGGGCGAGAACGCCGATCCTGAACGACGGAGGCCAACACCGATTCCGAAAATGAGGCCACGGCTGCAGCGGGAGCACAACAACAAAAAACGATTCGGAACGATTCGGGAGCAGAAATGAGGCCGGCGCCTCAATGAGAGCAGCATTTTGGGAAAAAATGACGCCGGCGCCTCAGCGAGAGTCGTTTCCCGGGATTTCCCGGGCATCCTGTGTGTAAAAAAACAGTACGCGGAGGGTGCGCTGCCATCACCCGGACGCCATCAGGGGAAGAGGGAGAGTATTTTCATATTGAGTAATTGTGGAGGAGGAGGAGGACGACGAGGAGGAGGAGGAGGAGGAGGAGGAGGACGAGGATGCGGAGGATGCGGATGCGGAAGAGGAGGAGGAGGAGGAGTAGGTAGAGGATGAGGCGGAGGAGGAGGAGGAGGAGGAGAGGAGGAGGAAAGGGGAAGCAGGAGCAGGAGGAGGAGGAGGAGGATGAGTAGAGGAGTAGGAGGAGGATGAGGAGGAGGAGGAGGAGGAGGAGGAGGAGGGGACGGCGGAGGCTTTCTTCCCACCACGTTCGAGGAACCGCAAGCATGGATTCCAGCCGGACCGAGGCACAAGAGCGAGGATGGCTCGGAGAGGATGCCCTGAGATCTTGGCGCTGCATTTTTGGTCACATCGGGCGTCTTCGCTCCATGTCGGGCCCTGGGACCCTCACAGATCGATCGGGTTCGAGAAATGACGCAGCAAGGTGGGGTCCAGGGCTCGGATCGTGATTTTTTGTGTTGTTGCAATTTGTGTTGCAGTTTCGGCTCTCAGGGTACCCTCATGTCCTTCGTGCCTGCTGGATGTTGTGCTTCCTGGGGATTGGGATCCTTGGATGCTCTGTGTGCTCTGGCAGGCGGGTGGTCTCGTGTCCCGGAGGGATGCTTTTCTGTCCCAGGTTCGACTGCACGGCGCGTGGATCAGCGACGGGGTCCAGTTCCGTGCGTCAGCGGCGCGCCCCGTCGCCGAGGCACTCGGCTGTGGCCTGAGGTTCGGGGATACCTTCCCCGGTCCTGCCACGGATCCACATCCACGGCCACGGCCTGAGGATCCATTGATCCTCAGGCCTGAGGATCCACTGATCCGGTCCTTCCCCGGTCCTTCCCCCTTCCTGCCACGGCCTGAGGATCCACCGATCCCTCATCCACGGACCAGGCCAGATCCCCGGATCTGGCCTGGCGCCATCCCGCCTGGCCAGTCCTGGCCATCCGTGGATCCGCCTGTGTGGATGATTTGGCTCTGTGGACTCGCTCCTCGGAGCCCAGGCCCCCGACGTCGTGCTTTTTTCATGACGTGGGGCCCAGCTGTTTAGACCCATTCCCCGGGACCGGTTTTTCGTCCCGAGTCGTTATTTGACGGTCCCGAGGCGCGGAAAGGGCCCCCAGATGCCGAAAATAGAGAGCAACTTCCCGTCATGTTTTTTCATGACGTGAGGGGGTCTGGGATCCTTGTTCCTTGCATCTGGCGCCATCCCGCCAGATCCACGGATCCGTCTTCCATGCCAGCGTGTGCCCCAGCATCGACAGGGAGGTGGGGCGGGAGAGGGAGGACGGACCCGTGCCCGGCGGGCGGAGACCCACAAGAGTTTCCCCTCCTCCTCCTCCTCCTCCTCCTCCTCCTCCTCCTCCTTTGCCTCCTCCTTTGCCTCCTCCTCCTCCTCCTCCTCCTCCTCCTCCTCCTCCTCCTCCTCCTCCTCCTCTTTGCGTCCTCCTCCTCTGGCTCCTCCTCCTCCTCCCTCCATCCTCCTCCTCCTCCTGCTGCTGCTCCCTCCTCCTCTCCTCCTGCTCCTCCTCCTTTGCCTCGTCCTCCTCCTCCTCCTCCTCCTCCTCTCCTGCTCCTGCTCTCCTCCTGCCCCCCTGCTCTCCTCACTCATACCTCTCCTCCCTCCTGCTCCTGCTTCCTCTCCTCCTCCTCCTCTCCTCCTCCTCCTCCTCCTCCGTCTCCTCCTCCGAGGTTGGGAGGACTGCCGCGCCAAGTGCCGGGGCCCCTGCAAGTTCTACAGCTACTGGCACGACTCCGTGACCCACAGGCGCCCCCCCCCCGGGCAAACAAAAGGAGAGGCTGCACAGCTTCAGGGGGCAACGATAGGGGGGGATAGGCATAGGGGGGGGATGCATCGACCCCCAATCGCCCACCCCGCCCAGGAAGCTGCGGGCTCACTATCGGGCGCCTATCGGCGACCTAACGGCGATGTATCGCCGATTCCAGGTCGATGCATCCCCCCCTTGTGCCTATCCCCTCCTTATCGTTGCCCCTCACAGCTGGGCGCCGCGTCATGGGAGAGAGGGGGCGATCCAGGGGGGAGGGGGCGAGGAGAGAGGTGCACCTCGAGGGCCCCAGAGGCCCCCTTGGAGGGGCCCCGGAGGGCCCCTTCTCTGCAGCCCTCGCTGCCCCCCCCCCCACTGATCGCCCGCCATATTGCGCGACGCCCGACACAGACCCGAGCCCTGAGATTCGACGCTGCGAAACATCACGGCACCGCACGACATCGCGAGCGGAGCCCAGGACCGCCTCGTGCTGCTTCACTTTTCTCGGGCCCGGTCGATCCGTGAGGGTTCTCGGAGCCCGAAATCGAGCGACAACGCCCGTTGTGACAAAATCGCAAGGCCTGGATCTCGGGGCACCCCTTCCTTCATCGCTCCCCCATTGATCGACTCCCAGTGTGGTGGGCTTGTCTTCCACCGCCACCACCAGAAGTAGGAGGGGCAGGGGGTCCTCCTCCTCCTCCTCCTCCTCCTCCTCCTCCTCCACCTCCTCCCCCCCCAACTGATGGTGGTCGTGGTGGAAAACAGGCCCATCACAATGCACAGACCCAGGCCTCCTACCTCTGGGGGCCCGTGCGGTTTTCTTGGACCTGCGCCGGACCCCCCCCAGGCGGCGCCTCTGGCGCCGACCCTGGCGCGCTCTGCGCGCCAAGGAGTGGGCGTCCCGGTCCCAGAAGTCCGCACGGATTTCCAACGGTCTCTGCTGGTGCAGTTTGTCCTTCCTTCCTCAACGCTCCCACGTGGAAGATATACCGCCAAGATGGATCAGGTCGACCCTGGCAAATCAAGGGTACCCTTGTGTCCTGTGTTTCGCAAGACATGCCTTCGACATTCCAGTGGCAATGTGGCCCTCGGACGGGTACTATATTGTGTCCTCTCGCGTGTCCTCGCCAAGCAAAGTTGTGCTGCACTGGCACCGCTGCCCCCCCTCCTCCGTTTTGCTTCGCCCTGCACGACCTGGCAGGTGCGCCTCTCCGTCCGCACCTCCTTCCCGATCGGATGTCGAGAGGTTGTCGGGGGAGGGGGAGGAGGAGGGGGACTCCCACCTCCTCTCGCTCCCCTCCCAGCTGCCGTCGGCGTGCTGGCTTGGGACGCCTTCTCCCTCCTACCCTCCCCCCCGACACGAGGAGGGGGAGGAGGAGGCGGAGGACGAGGAGGAGGAGGAGGAGGAGGAGGAGGAGGAGGAAGAGGAGGAGGCGGAGGAGGCGGAGGACGAGGAGGAGGAGGAGGATGAGGAGGAGGAGGACGAGGAGGAGGAGCAAGTGGAGGGTGACCCCCACTTCCTCTCGCTCCCCCCCCTCCTCGGGCCCCCTCTCGTCTCCCTCGCTGCGACGGCTGGGCGTCGCCACGGAGGCCTGGTCGGGGCGCGCCTCGGGAGGGAGGCCCCGCGAGCAGTGGCAGCGGCATCGCTATCTTGTGGTCCCCTCCCTCCTCCCACCGACGACGACGACGACGACGACGACGACGACGACGACGACGACGACGACGACGACGACGACGACGACCTGCGACCCCCACCGACCCGACGACGAACGACCTCCCAGCCCCCAGCAGCCCCGCCCTCCGACCACAGCCTCCGGCCTCCGACTCTCCGCTTCTTCGCCTGCACCGATCGACCTCCGGCGCGCCCACGGGCTCAGAACTCGGCGCCCCGACCTCGGCAGGCAGGGGCAGCACTGCACCGAGGGCCCCCGCCCCCTCCGCGCAGGCCCTGAGGGGCCCCGCCCCCGGCGGAGCCGCGCGCTCGCCTCGCCTCGCCTCTCCCACCTCGCGTGGCGACACGGCGGGATGTTTTTGGCAGGTTTCGGCTTCCTGGCCCCAGGGTTAAGTCGGGCATGTCCCTCTACAGGAGGAGTATCCAAAAATAGTAGCAATAATGAGGGGGCGATGTTCCTGTTGTTCTTTGACTATGTTTGAGTATTTGTTGGGTATGTTTGATTTTTCGTCCAAAATCCGCCTGCTGGGGGACATGCCCGACCTAGCCCCAGGGCCATGGAAAAACGGTCCAGGATGTCAAGCCTGCTCCGGGAATTAGTGCTCCGAGAGTTCAGGGGGTCCAAGCCTTCAAAGTGCTGCCTCTCCCCCCTTCTCCTTCTGGAGAGCTCCTCCCTGTCGCACCCCGAGGCGTGTCGGTCGAGCGGGCTGGGCGTCTCGCGGGAGGCTTCCCCACAATGTGTGATGCCTAGGCCCTGCGCTGAGGATTTGCAAGAGCTCCAGGGATGGAGGGCGGGCCGTCTTCAACACGTGGTCCTCGCTTGGGCGCCGCGCGCACTCGCTTCGAGCAGCTGCAGGAGCTTCACACATCAACGAGCGAAGAACGGTATAAAATAAACTTTTTCGCTGTCGGGGGCGCCTGTCCCTGGGCGGCTGGAAAGTTTATACCCCTACGGTGCCACCGTAAGGGTATAAACTTTCCAGCCGCCCAGGGACAGGCGCCCCCGACAGCGAAAAAGTTTATTTTATACCGTTCTTCGCCGTTAAACACATCGAGGGCGGGCCGTTCTCTCAGTGTGGCTCTCGCCCCAGCGCCGCGCGCACGTGCTTTGAACGTGTGCAAGCGTTTCACGGACGGAGGGCGAGCCGTTTTTTCAACGTGGCTCTCGCCTCAGCGCCGCGGGGCGGTGCAGGCCCCCCGTTCGTACGGCTCTGCGCTCGGCGGCGTCCGCGCTTCGTCCTCGTCTGAGCTGCTTGCAGCGCCATCCAGCTGCCGCTGCTCGAATGGTTTGGTTGTGGAGAGTTGGGTTAAGAAGCACTCGTTCTAAAACACTGCAGGAGCTTCACGGATGGAGGGCGGGCTGCTTTTTCATGTGACTCTCGCGCTTCCTTGCCGCGCGCATTCGTCTCCAATGTTCGCAACAGGTTCACAGGCGGAGGGCGGTCCCCTTTCAAAAGGCGGCTCTCGCCCCAGCGCCGCGTAGACTCGCCTTACAAGCGTGCAAGAGTTTCGCGGGTGGAGGGCGGCTCCTCCTCAAAGTGCGGTTTTCGCCTCAGCGCCGCCCACATTCGCTTCAAGGAATGACGAAAGTTTCGAGGATGTTGATGGCTGACGTCTCAGAACTGGTGTTTTGGCAGGACGCCGAACTGTCAGGGCGCAGCAGTTACGCTGATTCGTGGTGTTGAAGTCCCGGGAGCTGTGTTCTGGCACGATTCAGGATCGTCAAGGCACAACAGTAATGTTGATTCGCGGTGTTGATGTGCCAGGGATGATGTTCTGGCACAGTTCCGGATTATGTTCAAACGGTTGTCTTCTAACGGGGCATTTTCTCTCAGTGAAACCATGAACCCTTGTGGGGCCATATGAAGAGGGAGTTTGGAGGCGGGGTTCATTGCATTGCAATGTCGTTGATGAGTCTTGAGCTTGCACTGCTCCTCCTCCTCCTCCTCCTCCTCCTCCTCCTCCTCCACTGCACTCATGTGTCCTACGACCCTTCTCCCGGAGATGCAGTCCGACGTCGCACCCCGACGTCGGAGTGCTGGGCTCCTGCAGGTGCAAGCTCACCATGGGCTGCAGGGGCCGTGGCAGCGATGGGCGCCACAGCGTCAGCGCGTACCAGAAAGCGCAGGACACCACGGAGGATGCCTACGACATGGACCAGCAGTGAGGAGGGCGGCCGCGCCCGGGCGCGCCCGCGTGAGCTCGCTCTGGCTCCGCTCCTCAAGCCTTTGCCTCGGCTCCTCTCCTCTCGTTCCCCCTCTCTGCCCCGGCACGGCAGGAGAAGCTTGCTCCCAAGTTCGCAATAGTGTGGCAACGGGGGGTACTCCGCCTCCAACGGGCGCACCGTCGCCTGCCCCAGCGACCGACCGAGGGGGGGTGCGCGCGGTGAGATCAAGCCCGTCTCTGAGACCAGTGGGCCTCCTATCGCCAGCACGGGCTGCGACAGCTCAAGAGGGTGCAGCGGGGACCCCGGTCTAGCCTGACCCGCCCTTCGGGTGGAGCTGGCGCGGGCAGCACCCATCAGTGCCTCTGTGAGAACCGACGTCGCTAGCAAACTGCAGTTCCGTGCGAAATCACTGGATCCCAGACTCACCCCCCTCCGCGGTCCAGGGGAGGGGTTAGGGGGAGGGATCAAGCTACCCACACGCCCGCAAGCGGTCATGTACAACTTTTGTTACCACGTAATTTTGTATAGGTATATGCATGTGTATGTGTATATGTATATATAATATGTATAGGTATATGTATATGCATATGCATATGTTCATGTCTATGCATGTTCATATATACATGTTTGGGTGTATGCGTATGTATAGCTGTTTATCTGTACGTCTATGTATATGTCGATGAACAGGTGTATGTGTATTCGTGTATGTTAATATGTGTGTGTTTACTCATAGATGCGTGTACAGCTTTCTAGGCACGATTGTATGGATATGTGTGTATGTGTATATCTGTACTAGGTGGTTTCACATGTACGCATCTAGATACGTGTCTAGATGTATTGAACGCTCTGGCCGCAGGAAAGCCCTCGATCGTTCGAGGCTGAACGATCCCCATGTTGTAAGAAGCAGCCCCGGGCTCGAGATTGCGCAGAAGGGAAATGGGTCAACCCAAGGTGTGGCTTCAGGGACCGAGTTTAGCTTGAGGGGCTTATGCCCTCTTCCAGCAGCCGTTCACATCGGCCCTCGAGCAAGGCGAACGTTGCTCACTTTCTGAATGTGGACGTGCTTCTCATTTGTGTCCGTTTCGCTCCTGCAGGGGCTGATGAGGAGGAAGAGGAAGAGGAGGACGACGAGGAGGAGGGAGAGGAGCAGGAGGAGGAGGTCAGGAGGGGGAAGTTCCAAGCGGTGCGTGTGCTTGATGGCCCATCGCGCATGCTTTTGGGGGAAGAGGGTTTGGCAGGAGGAGAAGGAGGTAGATGAGGCGGAGGAGGAGGAGGAAGAGGAGGAGGAGGAGTGACCAGTGCAAACCCAAGACTCCTCAACGATATTGCAAGAAACCCTCCCTCCAAGCTCCCTCTTCATAGGTCCCTACAAAGATTTCGTCGAAGGAAGTGCCCCGTTGGAAAACAATCGTTTGAATCTCCTGAACTGTGTCAGAAAACCATTCTTGGGACTTCAACGCCGCGAATTACCGTTACTGTAGCACCTTGACGACCCTGAATCGTGACAGAACATCATTCCTGGGACTTCAGCACCACGGTTCAATTCCTGGAACTTCAACACCACGGTTCAACGTTTCTGTTACGCCTTGACAGTCCGACAGTATGCCAAAACATCATGTCTGGAACGTTAACCATGAGCATCCTCGTACCGGCCGTAGGCTCTTAAAACGAATGTGCGTGGCGCCTCGGCGAGCGCCACAGTTTGTAAAGGAGCCTCCCTCCATCCGCGAAACGCTTGCTTCCTTTTTTGTATGACTAATGTGCCTGGCGCTAGGGCAAGCGCCACATTTTGCAAACGGCCCGCCCTCAATGTGTGAAACGGTTGCAATTGTTTAACGAATGCGCGCAGCGCTCAGGCGAGAGCAACATGCTGAACACGACTTGCACTCCATTATTGAAACTCTTGCATTGTGTATGGCGAATGCGTTCGGTGCTATGGCGAGAGCAGCATTTTGAAAACGACCCACCCTCAATCCGTGAAGCTGCTGCATTTGTATGGCGAGTGTGCGCGGCGCTAAGGCGAGAGCCACCTTTTTAACGTCGCTCAGTCCGTGAAGCTCCTGCAGTGCTTTAGCACGGATGTTCTCGGCGCTGAGGCGATGGCCACATTTTGAAAGCGACCCGTCCCTTTCATTTTTGAACTGGTTGCAAATTCTGAGTTTCATGATCATAGAAACGGTGAGGGAGTCTCCAGCGGGAACGCACGGCCCGCCCTTCCGATTGGCATCGGGGTGCGGCAGGGAAAGGTGTTCTTCATAAGGTCTAGGAGTGGAGAAGAGGGATGAAGAGGAGGTGGAGGAGGAGGAGGAAGCGAAGGAGGTGGAGTTGGCGGAGGAGGAGGAGGAGGAGGAAACATATGGGAAGAACACGATGGGGAATGGCTTCGGGAGAGCGGTTGTTCTCCTTCTCTTTCTTTAAGGATTTCATTATTTCTGTCTTTCTCGTTCTCTTTCTCTTTCTCTTGTTTGATTTCTCTCTCTCTCTCACTCTCTCTCTCTCTCTCTCTCTCTCCGAGTACGCAGAGCGATGCGCGGGCATTCGCGCGTGAGTTGCCGGTGCAAGGTCGCGCGAAATCGCCCTTGTTGCAAACGTAGCGTGCCGCGCTGGCGGCCCGCGTAAGCCACCGCGTCAGGTCACCATGGCATCGCGCGTAAGACCTTCTGTCTCTCTCTCTCTCTATCGCTCGTCCCCCCTTGCTGCACTGGGACTCCAGCAGCTCGGGGCGGACTTTATAATACCTATCCGATTCTGCACGCCACGCCATCGCTGCCCGCTCCTCTCCTTCGACGCGCCCATGCGTTCCAGTTGTCGGCGGGGCGCCTCGTAGGGTGAGCTCTGCCGCGTTCGACGGGAATCACGCATCCATCCTCGCTCGTCCTCCCCCCTCCACTTGGAGGCTTGGAACTGGGCTCCGACACTGCGGCAGGGGGGTGGGCGTCTCCGCGCGGGGGGGGGGGAGTCTCCTGGGCTTCGGTGCTGGCGGCAGGGCCTTCGCCCCCCTGCGGAGCCCGGGCACCACCGCCGCCACCGAGAGCGGGGTCGCTCCTCCTCGGCGGAGGCAGCCGCCGACACGGGCCTCGGTGCCTCTCCGAGCGCGCTCCACCGCCCGCAGAGTGCCCCCTCGCAGGCGTCCGAACAGAGGCACGTACTACCCAGACATCGGGCGTCTCGCAAAAAATCGAGGCGGCGGTGTTTCATGGTTTTCGGCCTCTCGGGGCCCTCGCCAGGCCTCGGGACCGTCAAAAAACGACGCGGGGTGAAAAACCGGTCCCGGGGAGGAGGTCGGGAGGTCGGGGGCCCGCGTCTCGAAAACAATCGAGGCGTCGGATGTCGGGGTCCTCCCCCACGGAGCGGATCGGCAGATCTCCCCCCTCGGCGGGCCCGGGCCACCTGCGCGCAGAGCAACCCCTGCGGGCCGTGGAGAGCGCGCTCGTCGAGCGCCGGCCGCAGGGCCTCCCGGCCCCCACTCGAGCGAGGGGGGGAAGTGAGGAGGAGAAGGCCTTCTCAGAAGGCTCTGAAGTCCCCAGACATCGGGCGTCTCGAAAAAATCGAGGCGGAGGTTTTTCATGGGTTTTGGCCTCTCGGGGCCCTCGCCGGGCCTCGGGACCGTCAAAAAACGACGCGGGATGAAAAGCCGGTCCCAGGGAAGTGGTCGGGAGGTCGGGAGCCCGCGCCTCGAAAAAACCGAGACGTCGGATGTCTGGGTCTGAGAAGTTTTCTAAGCCTTCCCCGACGACGGAAGCAGCTTCTCAGCAGGCGCGAGGGCCTCTGAGAAGCCCCGCCGCCCTCTGAGAAGGCCTTCTCCCCAGACATCCGACGTCTCGGTTTTTTCGAGACGCGGGCTCTCGACCTCCCGACCACTTCCCTGGGACCGGCTTTTCATCCCGCGTCGTTTTTTGACGGTCCCGAGGCCCGGCGAGGGCCCCGAGAGGCCAAAAACCATGAAAAACCTCCGCCTCGATTTTTTTCGAGACGCCCGATGTCTGGGCCCCTCTCACTTCCCCCCTTCGCTCGCCGCCAGTCGCTCCCTCCGAGCGCACCCTGCCGCCTACGCCCCGTCGCGTCGAGTCGCCGCCCCCTGGGGCCCGGAGAGCGGCCCGGGCGATCTCCGCGGGGCTCCGCTGCTCGCCGGGGCCGCCGCCACCGGCGGGCGGCGGGAGAGCCTGGAGGGGAAGGAGGGAGGAGGAGGAGGAGGAGGAGGAGGAGGAGGAGGAGGAGGAGGAAGGATGAGGAGGGGAGGAGGAGAGGAGGAGCTGAGGAAGGAGGAGGAGGAGGAGGAGGAGGAGGAGGAGGAGGGGAGGAGGGGGAGGAGGAGGAGGAGGAGGAGGAGGAGGAAGAAGAGGAGGGAGGGGGGAGGAGGATGGAGGAGGAGGAGGAGGAGGAGGGGAGGAGGAGAGGAGGAGGAGGAGGAGGAGGAGGAGGAGGAGGATGTCGACTTCCAGCGGGGCTCCTGTGCTCGCCGGGGCCGCCGCCACCGGCGGGCGGCGGGAGAGCCTGGAGGGGAAGGAGGAGCAGGCCAGGAGTCTGTCGACGTCTTCAGAGTGGTTCAGGATCCCAGACATCGGGCGTCTCGAAAAAATCGAGACGGGAGGTTTTTCCCAATTTTCGGCCTCTCGGGGCCCTCGCCGGGCCTCGGGAGCGTCAAAAAACGGCTCGGGATGAAAAACCGGTCCCGGGGAAGTGGTCGGGAGGTCCGGAGCAGGCCAGGAGTCTGTCCCCAGACATGATCGCGTCGTAAGAAGAAATTCAGGACGGGCGGTTTTTCACCATTTTCGGCCCAGGGGGGCCCTCGCCGGGCCTCGGGGCCGTCAGAAACGATTCAGGACGACAAACCGGCTCCGGGGAAAGGGTCGACTTTTGGGGGCGCCGTCCTGAAAAAATCAGGACGTCGCATGTCTGGGTCGACTTCTTCAGGGTGGTTCAGGATTCGTCAGGCAGCAGAGGTATTTGATGGCGAACCAACAACACACACACCCATACCCACAGGGGGATCGGAGAGGGCCATGGGTGCGTGTTGTCGGATGGGGGTCCCCGCTCGAACGGGAGCGTTCCCCAGGGTCCGACAACCCGCACCCATACCCATGGCCAGTCCTCCTCCCAACGACCTCCCTATGGGTATGGGTGTGTGTTGTTCGTTCGTCATTTGACATATTTACTGAGAATTCTGTCAATTTCTGACGGGTTCTGGAACGTCTCCATGCAACCCACCAAACATCGAACCACGAACGGATTCTGCCGACAGGAGGAGGGAGAGGAGGGGGTAGGGGACTCCCCACTGCTTCTCGTGGGGGGGCACTATCACGACGGATGGTTTCTGCCCGGGGCCTGGGGATGGTAAAAAAAACAGCTCGGGAGAATCAAACAGGTATCCGGGGAGGGGTCTAGGCCTCCAGGGGTCAGCGCTGTGACAAGACAGCGCCGCGTCGGAGATCTAGGGAGGGGAGAGGTGGTGGGGGAGGGGGAGGAGGAGGGGGAGGAGGAGGAGGGAGGGGGAGGAGGAGGGGAAGAGGCTGTGGGGGAGGGGCGATGGGCAGAGGCGGAAAGGGACGAGGGGTCTGGAGGCAAGCTGGGTGCGCTCGCGCCTCATCCGACATCCTATCGCTCCATCCCGTGGAGCTGGTATTCTCTATCCGCAGACGCGTGACAATCCGACCTGGAACTCCAACAAAAAGACCCCACCGTGTGGAGGAGGAGGAGGAGGAGGAGGAGGAGGAGGAGGAGGAGGAGGAGGAAGAGGACTGTTTTTTCCAGTGCTCCGCGCACGCCCAGGCTCCTGATCGCGGGGCCGCGCGGGACTGGACGCGCGGGTTTGAGCCAAAGATGCTCGACAACGTTCTCCACCATGATGAAGTTGCCAGTGCACCGACCGAAGGTGTCCAAGGAGCTTTTTTTTTGTTGGTCTGCGGGTCGAGAGCGAGCCTCTTCCAGTTAAGAGCTGGGCGGGCCGCGCAAAAAACACTGACTGGGGAAACAGGGCGCGGGCGGGCGGGGCCTCCGGCGCCCGGAGGGCGCGGGGTGCAGGCGGTGCTGAAGAGCTTGCACAGGAAAAGGTACACCCTGTAAGAACGGTTTTTTGAAGGCAGATCTGCCTTCAAAAACCGTTCTTACAGAGTGGACCGATTTTTTGAAGGCAGATCTGCCTTCAAAAAACCGTTCTTACAGAGTGGACCGATTTTTTGAAGGCAGATCTGCCTTCAAAAAACCGTTCTTACAGAGTGGACCGATTTTTTGAAGGCAGATCTGCCTTCAAAAAACCGTTCTTACAGAGTGGACAATGTCCAGGGAGCCCGTGCAGATCCTCCGCGGGCAGTGCCGCCCCCGGCGCCTCGGGGCCGCCAGGCGCTCCGCGCCCAAGGAGCCGCGAGCGGCTCCCCCGCGCGCGGCCTCTTGGCGCCGCTCTCGGCGGGGACGAGCAGCGGCAGCGGGAGCTGGAGCTGCAGGAGGCGGGCCGGAGCAGGAGGACCCGGGGGGCGGCGGAGCAGGGGAAACAAAAGAAGGGGGGGCGACAACGATTCGAGAAGAAGAAAGAAGAAGAAGAAGAAGAAGAAGAAGAAGAAGAAGAAGAAGAAGAAGAAGAAGAAGCAGAAGCAGAAGCAGAAGCAGAAGCAGAAGCAGAAGAAGAAGAAGAAGAAGCAGAAGAAAAAGAAGAAAGAAGAAGAAAGAAGAAAAAAAAGACTCGGGCTCGGAACCGGTGCCCACGCGGAGGCGAGAGCGCCCCCCGCGAGCGAGGGGGGCCGCGCGCCGAGCCGGCAGAGGGGGGGGGGGGCCCACGCTGCAGCGGCAGCAGCAGGTCTGCGGCGCCGGGGGGCCCGTCGGAGTGCCCCCGGGGACGTCGCGGAGCGAGAGCTCTCCGACGGCTCGCCCGGGGCCTTCCTGCCAGGCGTCCCGAAGGTTGAGGTGCCTGCTCAGCCTGTGCGCCCGGAGTTGGGCTGGGACTGCTTCCTGTCCTCCACCTCCTCCTCCTCCTCCTCCTCCTCCTCCTCATCCTCCTCCTCATCCTCATCCTCCCCCCCCCCCCTCCTCCTCCTCCTCCTCCTCCTCCTCCTCCTCCTCCTCCTCCTCCTCCTCCTCCTCCTCGGTGTGGCCCTCAGGCGGGGGCCCCAGGGCGTCGGGAGGAAGGGAGACCAATCGGAGCGCAGACCACCCGACGACAGGCCGTGTTTTGGAAGGCTTGCGCGTGGAGAGCAGCTCGCGGAGGAGGCCGAGCATTTCCCGCACGGCGTCGGGGGAGAGGAGCGTATAGTGTTCAGAGTATGTCATTGTGGAGGTGAGAGAGGGGAGCGGTTGGCCAGCGGAGCCAACGGACTCTGCGACAGAGGGTATGTGGTGTGTGCATGTGAGGGCGGGGGATAGGATGCACTTGATTGCGGAAGAGCGTGCAATATTCTGTCGTGCCCACCCCGTCTTGCCCACAAGGACTTCGCACGCGTCTTTAGCCTCATCGACAGTCTTCTGTCCATTATCATCGCCATGCGCCTCGCTCTTGGCCTCGCTGCCGTCCACGGCCCCGCGCTTATTTCTCCTCCTCGCCTCTGCTTCCTCCTCCTCCTCCTCCATGTCTTTTGCTCGATAACTCGTCCGTGCCGCGCCCCCAGACGAGTCGGTTGGGTGGGCCTGGGTGTTCCACCCGAGCTTTCCCCGTCACTCCTGATCCCGAAGCTTGACCTTCGCAGCAGCTGCAAGGATGGGCGGCAGGCCGTTCTCAAAGTGGAGCCCTCGCCTCACCGACGCGCGCACTCGCCCCAAACGCGTGCAACAAGGATGGAGGGGGGCACGATTTCAGAACATGGCTCTCGCCGAAGCGCCGCGCGTGGCAGCCTCAGCACAGTCTCCCGAAGTGAGGAGGATCGACGGCATCTCGCGTTCAGGTGGTGGCTCTTGCCTCGGCGCCGCGGCGCATTCGTTCGAACAATTTGCGGCGTGCTCGAGCGTCGAGGGCGGGCTGCTCTCAAAACGGGGCTCCCGCCCCAGCGCCGCACACTCTTCTCCGTCGGCAGCGAGGCGGGGCAGCCCGCTCCAGCGCGGCAGCGATGCAGGGGCACTGCGGCGCGAATCGGCTGGCAGGCGGGGGGAGGGGAGGAAGAAGGACGCGGCGGGCAGCGCCGCGCACACCGTCGCCTCACACAGCCTGCAGCAGCCTCCGAGGGCGGAGCGCGGGTCGCGTTCGAGGCGAGGCGCTCGCAGGCGCGCCGCGCGCGCGCCTCCCTGCAAGTCTGCGCCTGGGCACGGGAACGGTGTGCGCCTCCTGCTCGAAGTGGAGCTCCCGCGCGGGGCTCCTCGGACCTCGGGCCCGAGCTCGAGGCGCGCACACGCGCGGCAGCTGCTGCACGGCTGCGGGGCGGCGCCCAAAGCAGACAGGTTCGGGGCCTGCGCAGGCCTGTTTTTTTTGTTGCATGCAGGGGCCGGAACTCTGAACACGTCCTCCTCCTCCTCCTCCTCCTCCTCCTGCTCCTCCTCCTCCTCCTCCTCCTCCTCCTCCTCTCTCTCCTCTCCTCCTCCCCCCCCCCTGCCTCCCTCCCTCCCTCCCTCCCTCCCCCCCTCCTCCTCCTCCTCCTCCTCCTCCTCCTCCTCCTCCTCCTCCTCCTCCTCCTCCTCGGTGCGGCTTCACGGACAGCGGCTGGCTTCTGTTCAACATGGTGTTCTCGTTGTGTGCGTATTCCGCGCTCCTGGTCAGGAATGAAAGCGTGTGCAAGAGTTGCACAGGACGGACAGTGTTGTTTCAAAGCGGTGGTCCTGCTGGACACCTCGCCGAACTGCATGATCATACCTGATCGCATTCCTTCTTACCCGCTGGAAGGATGCAAGGCAATCAGCTCCGCTTCATAACGGGACGATCGCCCGAATTGCAGGCCCGTAGGGAGTTGGTCTTTCAACGGGATGTGTTTTGACGTGGAAAGGAAGGCTTGTGCGGAGTAGGAGAGGTTAGATGCCGTACGGCGCTCTCTGGATGACCACGCATAGGAAGACGTCTAGGCAGGCGGATGTTGCGAGGGCGGAGGTGGCGCCTGAGCTGGCTGACCTCCTCCTCCTCCTCCTCGTCCTCCTCCTCCTTTTCCTCCGCCTTCTCCTCCTTGCGCCCGAGGGTGATGCCGAACTGCGCGACGGCGCCATTTGCGTTGTGTCTCAAGTTCCTCATTCGCATGTCGATCTCGATGCCCCACTGGAGGATGAGGGCGTCGGCGATCTGCGCCGCCGTTGGAGCGGGTCCGCTGGATGAGGGATCGGCCCCCCTTCTACACCGCCGCAGATCCACGCGACGTGGTCAAAGTCTCCCTGGTCGCGTCCACGCCACGGGCACGTGGGATGGGACTTGGGGCGGGAAGGTGAACGGTTGAAACAACGTGTACGCACCGTGGGTTTACTCTAGTGTTTCTTCTTTTCCTCCTCCTCCTCCTCGTTTTCCTCCTCTTTCTCCTCCTCGCATCCCCAGGCGTCAAGCGGCGCAACCCGTCCCCATCTTCCCAGTCGGCTTACTCTTACTCTTCAGGCCATGTCTCCCAGCTGCGATTGAGGAGCCCCATCGCCCCCACGCGCCGAGGAATGGTGAAGCACCGCGGCCTTCACATTCTCACACACAGCGCGTGCTCTCTCGCTCGGCCAAGCCGCCATTCAGAAGTGTCTCCCGCGTGCGCCAGCAACGACATCGCTTTCTTGATGGGGGCTCGTCTTCGCATGACAGCCGCGGACAGCTGTTGCAGCAGCATCGCAGACACACATCTCCACAGTTCCAGCTGGGGGTACAGTCGAGGTGCCTTTTCGAACGGCCATGCAGGAGTGCAAATAAGGTTGAGGAAGGACACCTTCATAACCCGCCATACCGCCGCAGTATGTTCGCCTCCCCCTGTACTACGAGGACGAGACGGGGCCGTCCTTCGATCAGGCCGCTTTCGTTTGCCTGCCATCGCAGTTACCCTCCATCACGCTCGCCGACAGCTAAAAAGAGGAGCGCGTGTCAAAGAAGTGCTGATGCGTTGATCAAACGGGTGACTGATATAGCTAGCGAACAGCCAACTCGATCTTCGATAGACTTCGGCGGGGACACGAAAAGGCCACATATGAGCGCCATCCGCCGAGCACATCGCAGACGAGTTTGACCCTGCAGGGCCCCTCCTTACTCGGCCCGAGCACTAGAGAATGCAGAACATGAGAATATACCTTGGGCAGTTCGGCCTCTGCCTCGTCAATACCTTCGTAGGCGGTGAGGACACACACACACACACACACCTCGGGAAATCGAGCAGTGCGCGAGTCAACTACATTGGGGCTCCCCGCATCTGGCTCTCTTCTGTTACCCAGCGCAGAGTCACCCAGAAGCCCGGCAAACGTCTCCAAAGGGCCCCCGCGGTCCGCAGATGGGACCATTGGTCCTTGCATGTCTCCGCTCGGTTTCTCAGTTTCCCTGCGGCACCCTGCGCAAAGGCTGAGTCTTGGGATGCTGATCGGTGAGTAGACGGCGTCGCGCATGGCCTCTGGCGCGGTAGATTTCCCGAGGGGATCGAAGACGCCCGCGGCGAATCACCGCCGCCCCCTGCCTCTTCGGAAGCGCCTATGCGGCCGAACGTTGAGACGAGGCCTGCCAAGTTGTCGGACCATGCGTTCCCCGAATCGGTTTGGAAAGCCTTCGGGGAACACGTGGGCATCTTGAAGGTCATCTTGGCCACCAGGAGGCCATTCTGACCCTTTTCGGGCTTCGTTGGGGGACGTCTTGGGGGGCTCTTGGGCCGTTTTGGAGGCCATCTTGAGCGTCTTGGAGGCCTCTTGGGCCGTCTTGGGGGCCTCTTGGGGCCGTCTTGGGTTTTTTGGGCGATCTTTTGGGGGTAACTTACTTGGGCCGGTTCGGGCCGTCGGAAGGCCGAAGCAGCGCAAATGCTACAACCCTTCAACAACTCACGGGACTTATTTTTGTTTGCCTTTTTTCGGGCCTTCATGGAAGCCCTCTTGGAGGCCGTCTTGGGCCGTCTCAGGGCC